CAAGAATGTGGCACAGGGTTAGAAGTGAGAAGCTTTCTCGTTTTGGCCACCAATTCGCTTAATGTCAGCTATAGTCCAATTAAAGATGTTGAAACTACATTGTGTTTATGGCTGATATTATGTTTCATGAATTCAACTCTGTTTTCAACACCAAACGCACACGCCTGTCGTATTCTTTTCTTACTTTCTCCTTCATTTGTACATGCTGTATTCCATGTTCTTCGCTGACTCTTAGTTATTCATAGTCTTCTTCTTGTTCCAGTTCTCTAATGTCGGTGACAAAATCTAGATTTATTGAGTGTGTTTCTGTAATTCTCTTTTTCGTGAATGTTACTTTTGCACATTTATCTAATGCGAAATCTATACCGATGTCATCGTTGAAACATTTTACAGTATTAAGGATACCACTCAACTCATTTTCATCTTTGGCAAAGAGTTTACTATCATCTATGTAGAATAGGTGATTAAAAACATTCTTTTTTTTTAAATTTGTATCCCTAGTTCTTACTTAGTTCATGTGAAAAGGTGATTAAGGACAGACAGAATGGAAGAGGGCCTCAGGGATTCTCCTTGAAAGATTCCGCGTCGGATATTCAAAAATTTGGAAGTGGTATTCCCCTCATTATTATTTAGGTAATATTAATATCTGTGACAAAATCTAGATTTATTGAGTGTAATTCTCTTTTTCTTGAATCTTACTTTTGCACATTTATTTAATCTGAAATCTGTACCGATATCATGACTGAAACATTGTACAGTATTAATGATACCACTCAACTCATTGTCAGTGGGTGTATTATGGTTTATTTACACTTCTTCGCTCACTTGAAATTGCCTTTATTACTGAATAAAGTTTATTTCTTTCATGTTCTTTGGCACAAATCATCATCCCGTCTTCTGTAGAATCCATGTATCTTTGAAGACTGAGCGTTGTGCTTTTGTAAGACAGTTCTAGTTGAACTAATCCTCTACCTCCTTCGGATCTGCAGACATGCAGACGATCTACATCAGTCTTAGGATGATGCGTGTGGTGACAAGTGAGAAGCTTTCACGTTTTGGTCTCCATTCGCTTAATGTCAGCTATAGTCCAATTAAAGATGTTGAAACTACATTGTGTTTATGGCTGATATTCTGTTTTATGAATTCAACTTGGTTTTCAACACCAGACGCACACGCCTGTCGTATTCTTTTCTTACTTTCTCCTTCATTTGGACATGTTGTATTCCATCTTCTTCGCTGACTCCTAGTTATTCATAGCTTCTTCTTGTTCCAGTTTCCTAATATCTGTGACAAAATCTAGATTTATTGAGGGTAATTCTCTTTTTCTTGAATCTTACTTTTGCACATTTATTTAATCCGAAATCTGTACCGATATCATGACTGAATCATTGTACAGTATTAATGATACCACTCAACTCATTGTCAGTAGGTGTATTATGGTTTATTTCTCCTTCGCTCACTTGAAATTTTCTTTATTACTGAATAAAGTTTATTTCTTTCATGTTCTCTGACACAGATCATCATCCCGTTCTGTAGAATCCATGTATTTTTGAAGACTGAGCGTTGTGCTTTTGTAAGACAGTTCTAGTTGAACTAATCCTCTACGGTTTAATACCATATCCCAGAGATTTTAGCTGTTCTAATGAGTTCCCATACCTCTGGAGAGAGATCTCCTCCTTTCCTCTTAATTTGGTGGATACGGAACTTACCCAACCCAGAAACTAAGTACTTCTTTGATTAATGGCAACCACAACACAGAATCTAAGAAGTGTATGGTAAGTTCTCAATTGCAAATCATGTGACTAAATCGGACTCAAGACTAATAGCATCATATATGTGGACGACACCGTATTGATGGCAGACATAGAAAGAAAACTTAATATACTTTCAGACAAGCCTGAAAAGGAAAATTGTGAAGAAAGACCTATCAATTTTAAGAATTCAGAATACATACTCGGTAGTAACAGTGAAAGCACAGGATGCAAACTACGAAGAAAAAACTCAAGAATCGAGAAAGTACAGACAATTGATTATCGGGCAAAAGGTAAATAACAGACGATAGAAATGTGACACCGAAATCCGAAGTTTTATTGGAACAGCAAAAGTTGTTGTTTTTTTTAAGCGCTTCACCCCAAGCAAGGCGGGAAGCCACTAGCACGCAAGGGGTTACAAAGAAGTGGAGCGAGAGCAAAGAGGAGTGATAGAGGAAAGGATGAGGAGAAGGATAGGGGATAGATCAAGGCAACTAGAGATGTCGATTGACATTACATTTGAATAGTTGGAGATTATAGCTATCGGGGAAACAGGAAAAGGGAAGGGAGTTCCACGGCTACATTTAACATTTTCAACAGTGAAAGGGTGAGAGCGAGATACCAGCCTAGTTGAACGCTTAAATTCATGAAGTCTGGGAACCAGCGAAAGTAGCTCCTCGGAGCAGTTACCATGAAAGTATTTGTAAAAAAGACAGAGGGAGGCTAATAGGAATTATGTTAATATTCTTATCTGTGCCTATTTTCATCGTACCCAAGCCTCCAGTTATTATAGGTTTAACCGTAATCTTAATATGCTAAACATTTCTCTAGCTCAATTTCAATTTAGGTTTATTTACTAATTTTCAGAAAATTCTTTAATATATTTTTTTCTCCCGTATTTATAAGAAGGCATTTGTAGTTTTAATAACTATATCTGGTCTATGTATGATAAATTTATATGTGGTGGGCAGACATGTTATTGGCCTATAATTTTTGGGATCGTCTGTGATAAGAAATATTGATAAAGTTGGTGCAAGAGTTTTATGAATTGATGACAGATTATAGAGCCAAAAATTTTCATTTCCTGGGGATTTCCAATTTGGGGATTTTGTTATTGTTGACTAACATTATTCTTGGCTATATTTAATAACTATGTCTGATCAATTTATATGTGGTGAACAGACATGTTATTGACCTATAATTCACGTCTATGCCAGATCAGAGCCAATTACACTGCATATCTTGTCAAGAACCTTGAAATATACAGGAGGGGCCCCAGCCCATATATGGCAGCAATATTCCATGCAAGGATGAATGGCTGATTCGTAGATTTGAAGGATCGACTCCGGCGAGAAAAATTTCCTGGCACGGAACAGGGAGCCAACTTTCCTTGCGGTGGACGAAGCTATTGACTCAATGTATTTGTTTCAACTCAGGTCCAAAAACTAAATAGATATTCTATTTAGTTTGTGGAAAACACCTTTTGCTGCTCCAATAAGAAACTGGAGAATTTCGTTGGAAATAAAGAAAAGAAAGCTGTTTAATATTAGTTTTCCTCTATGGCAGTGAATTCTGGAGAGTTCTTCACAGATAAATTGCTCACAGATGAAGAGGAGATTGGAGATAAGAGAAATATAATTCTACAGAAGGATTCTGAAAATACCATGTACGGGGTGCATAAGAAAATGGTGGTGGGTAGCAAATACTCAGAATAAGAGGCAGCTGAAATTTGTTGGCTACACAATGAGGAATGATGGCTTGGAGAATCTGACACACAAAGAACATATGGAAGTCAAATGGGATAGACGGCAGCAGCGGGCCAACTGCATGGTTTGCGAGAATGGATAGGTGTTGGGTGGATGGCAAACAGACAAAAGTTACTCGGAATTAGATGGAATAAAGAAGTAGAAGAGTATCCGTCAAAAATATCAATCCTCCTATATGGCAGTGAATAATGGACAATTTCCTAAGATGAAGAGGTGACTTCAGACCACAGAAACAAGGAAAAGATTGATGAACTGCTACGTAGTATGAATCCTCCAATATGGCAGTGAGTGCTGGAATATTTCCTCACAGATGAAGATGAGAGTTGAGGCAACAGAAACAAAGAAAAGAGTGCTGAACTGCTATGTAATATCAATCTTCCTATATGGTAGTGAATCCTGGACAATGTCCTCACAGATTAAGAAGAGACTTCAGGCAACTGAATAAAAGAAAGGCGTGCTAAATTGTTATGTAATATCAGTCCTCCTATATGGCAGTGAATAATGGACAATTTCTTAAGATGAAGAGGTGACTTCAGACAACAGAAACAAAGAAAAAATTGATGAACTGCTATGCAATATGAATCCTCTTATATGGCAGTGAATGTTAAACCATTTCCTCACAGATGAAGTGATTGGGGGTGGGGGGAAATGTGCTGAACTACTATCAATCCCCCTACATGGCATTGAATGCTGGATATTTTCCTCACAGGTTAAGAGGAGACTTGAGGCAAGAGAAACAATGTAAGGCGTGCTACACTGTTACATAACATCAGTCCTCCTATATGGCAGTGAATTATGGACAATATCCTCACAGATGAAGAGGTGATTTGAAGCAAGAGAAAAAAAAGAGAAGAGTTCTGAACTGCAATGTAATATCAATTCTACTATATGGCGGTTAATGCTAGACAATTTCCTCACAGTTAAAAAGGAGACTTGAAGCAAGAGAAACAAAGAAAGGCGTGTTAAACTGTTATATAATATCAGTCCTCCTATAGGGAAGTGAATACTGAACAACATCCTCATAGATAAAGAGGTGATTTGAGGCAAGAGAAAAAAGAAAAGAGTGTTGAACTGCTATGTAATATCAGTCCTCCTTTAGGGCAGTAAATGCTGGACAATTTCCTCACAGATGAAGAGGGGATTTAGGGAAGAAAAGAGTGCTGAACTTCTATCAATCCTTGTATATGTTAGTGAATTCAGGACAATTTCCTCACAGATGAAGAATTAATAGATATGTGGCTGGAAAAATGTATTCTTAGAATGGTATGAAAATTTAGGAAGTTCTAAGGAAAATGAAAACGAAAATGACATTTTTGTTTGAGACCAGAATACAATATGAGGAAAGATGATCAGCGAAATTTGATACTCACGGGACATATTGAAGGCAACTAGGACAGAGACCTACAGCTAGTAACCTACCTAACAAACGTGTATAAGTAGATGACAGAACATCGACCGGGAGGGATATTTATGGCAGAAAAAAATGCTTGCAGCTACAAAGGATTGGAAGTTGTTCACAGTTGTTCATTATCTATCTATCTATCTATCTATCTATCTATCTCAGTCTGTTCATATCTATCTCCGTCTGTTCATATCTAGCTCTCTGAGTCTGTTCATATCTATCTATCTATCTATCTATCTATCTCAGTTTGTTCATATCTATCTATCTCAGTCTGTTCATATCTAGCTCTCTGAGTCTGTTCATTATATATCTATCTATCTATCTATCGAAGTCTGTTCATATCTATCTATCTATCTATCGATTTATCTATTTATCTATCGATTTATCTATCTATCTATCTATCTATCTCAGTCTGTTCATATCTATCTCAGTTTGTTCATATCTAGCTGAGTCTGTTCATATCTATCTATCTATCTATCTATCTATCTATCTATCTCAGTCTGATCATATCTAGCTGTCTCTGTCTGTTCATATCTATCTATCTATCTATCTATCTATCTATCTATCTATCTCCGTCTGTTCATATCTAGCTCTCTGAGTCTGTTCATATCTATCTCTCTATCTAAGCTTGTTCATATCTATCTATCTATCTATCTATCTATCTATCTATCTATCTATCTATCCTGTTCACCCACGTCCTGAATGGACACGGTGGATTAAATCTGAAAAGAACAACTCTACACAGTCTTCTTTTTTATGGGCTTATTTACCGTCGAAGAGAAGGACATATTCAGCGTGCTTGGCGGTTTGTTCATCGCATCGCATATCCGACATCCCATTTATCCTTACAGTTCTTGTTTGTATTTTTATTTTATTTTTTATTTATTTTCGGTGAGTGGGTGGGTGGGGTTTTGCGCACTCTTTATCGCCATCCCGAATCCTTTTTACCTTTTCTTTTTTTTTTTTTTTTCCTCCCTCTTTTTCCTCGTCACTAGGGACAAGCATTAGGACCGATATGTCACAAGATAAACTAGAATAATAAAATAAAAATAAAATAAAAATGAAAATAAAATAAAAGGTTAAAATTCTCTATCTACCCCCGTATGCACCCAAGCCACCACCCACCCCGAAACACGCGCACTCTTTTGCTACAGAACTTTTTCGAGAACCAAAAGACCGATTTCTCAATTCTTCTTTTTTTTTTGACTTTGGACACCACATCTGTTTGTCGTTAATTTTGCCAAGACTCGCAGCTCCGACCGCCTCCACCTTTCCTCCGCACCGCCTTCGCTTTCTCCCAGCCTTTCCTCCTACACCCTCCCCACGTTCCCAAATGGCCGCTTTCTACTAATTCGACTGCCGGGCATTTATTATTATTATTATTATTCTACTTGTTGATTTTTCCAGTCTAGTCCTATATTGTGGTTCACACATGAGATCAGCTGACAGCAAGTCTCCTTAACACTAACGCACTCTCCTATGCATATTAGTGCCCAAAGTACAATTATTGTATACCCCATCTCTTCTGCGGATAGTCTTGTGGCGACGGTCTTGATTAACTCATATGTTGCATTCTTCTCTCTGTCGTCTTCCGATCGGGTGATCGCTTGCTGTTTTTTCTAATTTCGTCTATAAATGAGAATTTCAACAAAAGGGATTTTACACATTTATTTTATTAACACATCGATGTGTACATTTTTAACTAGTCAGTGGGGGGGGGGCGCTCTATCTGCCCCCAACCACACACTGGGGAGCAAGTTCCCCGAAACACGAAAGAACCGTGTCTAATGAGTATGATGTGTAAAAATTAGCTCTAACATTCCCACGTTCAGCTGAGCCAATCAAAATCCACATCCCTATTTTGTCTACCAGCTGACCCTAAGGTCAGCCTCAGAAGGTCTGAGCCAAATACACTGCCACTAAAAAATAATAGTCTGTCTAAAGTGCCAACCCATGGGCGAATTGATCAGAGAGCTCCACGGCGCTATGCAGTAACCCCGTCTTCGTTGTTCGAACCATTTTGAGAAACCCGAGGAGTCCATAATTTTCGGTCGAGGTTCGAAATAGAGGTGACAAGTTCCGAGACGACATGCAAGGTGAATTTGTTTTTGAAGTTACCTTAGCCTAAAGAGGCAGGACCTACAAGATAGCAGGTTGTTTGTGTTCAGAATTTTCCTTCTCTTACAATGATTGCCAAACAAGGACCCAGTCTGTCCTGCTATTTTTACATACCTGGGTGAATGAGATGGAGTCACAACTTTGACAAGGGTATTAGCATATAAGTGAATGTAATGAAAAAATCTAACGAAAATATTTATTCAATCCCCAGACACTATTTCTTTGGCCGTTCACGCGAAAAGATTGAATAAAGTGCTCGGTTCGAAATCTCTCGAAGTTGACGACAGATATCTGATGAAGGTTGGAGAATGCAATGGCTGAAATGTTGTGACCATAACTCCCAAAAAAGAAAACGCTACTCTAAATATATCGTCGTCTCCGTCGTTGTCTAAAGTGCCATGGGCGAATGGTTCAAAATTAGAGTGTTCCACGGCGCCGTGCCGTGTCCCAGTCATCGTCAGTCTGTCCGTCTGTTTCTCTCTTTCTCTCTCTCTCTCTCTCTCTCTATTTATCTATCTATCTATCTATCTGTCTGTCTATCTCATTTTCTTTATTTCTTTCTCTTTCTTTGTTTCTTACTTTATCTATATATCTATTTATTTGTTTCTCAATCTGTTCATATCTACCCCACTCTCTCTCTCTCTCTCTCTTTCTCTCTCTCTCTCTCTCTCTCTTACATCCTGTCATTTCCTTCTTTATTTCTCAGTCAGTTCATATCTATCTATCTATCTATCTATCTATCTATCTATCTATCATGCAATCATAATTTTAACGTTATCTATGTCTTTATTTGTTTCTCAATCTGTTCATATCTCAGTCTCTCTCTCTCTCTCTCTCTCTCTCTCTCTCTCTCTCTTTTACATCCTTTTATTTCTTTCTTCATTTCTCTATCAGTTCATATCTATCTATCTATCTATCTATCTATCTATCTATCTATCTATCCTGTTCATTATCTATCTATCTATCTATCTATCTATCTATCTAGGTCTGTTCATATCTATTTATCTATCCTGTTCATTATCTATCCTGTTCATTATTTATTCTGTTCATTATCTATCTATCTATCTCAGTCTGTTCATATCTATCTATCTCAGTCTGTTCATATCTAGCTCTCTGAGTCTGTTCATATCTATCTATCTATCTATCTATCTATCTATCTCAGTCTGTTCATATCTATCTATCTATCTATCTATCTATCTATCTATCTATCTATCTATCTATCTATCTCAGTCTGTTCATATCTATGTATCTCAGTCTGTTCATATCTATCTATCTATCTATCTATCTATCTATCTATCTCAGTCTGTTCATATCTATCTATCTATCTATCTATCTATCTATCTATCTATCTATCTCACTCTGTCTGACCCACTCTGTCTAATCGTTAACAATTGGTAAATGTGATTATAAAGTCTGATATTCAGTTTGTAAAGAAGAATTTTTGCTTGAACTTTTGAGACGTGAAATTATCATAATTAAACACCGATACACTCAGATTATACTACGCACTTTTGTTGTTAGAACAAAAATGCTTCACCCATTCTAATCTCCAATCTTCATTAGGTGACGTTCGTGTTTGGTAATCTTCACGAACAGAAAAAATTGACCGATTTTTTTTTTCAATCCTCCAGACCTCATGCGAAAATATTGAATAAAGCGCTCGGATCGAAATCTCTCGAAGTTGACGACAGATATCTGATGAAGGTTGGAGAATGCAACGGCTTAAATGCTGTGACCATATCAATCAAACTAAAGATGCTACTCTAAATATATCTTCGTCGTCTCGTCGAAGATACAATCATGGGAGAATAGTTCGAAATAAGAGAGCTCCACATTGCGTCCTAGTCATGTGTTTGTGGTAGATTTTTCGGTAAGAAGCTGTGTGGAACTTCTTCCTTACCAATGCAATACGAAGGGAATGAGCATGATCTAATCCATGTCCATGGCATGGCTCGTCCTAGCTGTGAATGTCTGAACTTGAGGCATGGAAGAATGTAGTTCGTCTAACCCTTGAAGAAGAGAGCATCGTAAGAAGACTCAAATACATTCTAGAGCGGCACAAGGGACTGGACCATTTTTCCAACAGACCCCCCCCCAACTTTTAGCGATAGATCGTATATATGTTTAAGAGCTTTGGTGTACCCGAGTCTCAAAAGACGTTCATGGCAACATTGATAGTACAACCGTTCCTCTTGACTGGAGAAAATTCAGACTCTGATCGCTGATAATGGAACACGACCGTGAATCATTCTCTCTGCTTCCTTGATAAATCATCGCCGTCTCAAGTGACGTGAGTGATACACCCATCGGCGAATGGTCTGAAATCAGTGTTTCACGGCGCCATGCCGTGTCCAAATCTTATATTTGTTCGAACCGCTGTACTAAGCCCGAGGAGCTCATTATTAAGTTATCTTCTTCTAGCCTTTATCTAAAGCGACAGGACTTACTGGACAGTAGCGGTTTAAATTCTTTCTCCTAGACTAGTTGCCACCCAAGGCTATGGGACACAGTCTGCACTGTTATTTTACTCATAGTTGAGGGTGAGGAGAAGAGATATAATTCCAAGGGTATTGGCACGTAACTGAATATAACAAACTGGACTCTCCCGAATCCTCAATCCGAGCTGTAATCCATTACTCATCCCGGCTTCAAGCCTGTGTTTTATAGATTACGCAGAAGCATTTGATAAGTTACTGATAAGTATCTTAGAAAAACAAGATTCATTTAATGGAGACGAATAGTCTGAAATGAGAAACCTCCACGGCGCCTTGCCGTGTTCCAATCTTGTATTTGTTCAAACCGCTGTACTAAGCCTGAGGAGCACATTATTTTCTGTCGAGGGTCGAAGTAAGGGAGGACCAGTTCCTTTCTTCGTGCCGATATGCGAGGTGGATTTGTTTTTTCTTCTTCTAGCCTTTCAGCGGTTTAAATTCTTCCTCCTAGACCGGTTTCCACTCATAGCTATAGGACCCAGTCAGCCCTGCTATTCAACCCATAGATGGGGGAGAAGCGATAAATTTATATGATTCTCAAGGGTATTGGCATGTAATATAACAAACTCCACTCTTCCGAGCCACTATCCATTACTCATCCGTGCTTCCTATTGGAGCCTGCGTTTTATAAATTACGTACAAGCATAAGTTACTAATAAGGATCTACTTGAAGTTAGAAAAACAAGATCCATTTGGGAAAGATATTAGTGTAATCAAAAAAGAGACAAGCCGCCTGCATTGAGATAGAAAATGAATTCACTAAATACCCAGTAAATACATTATTTTCTGCCACGGACCAGTCCCTTTCTTCGAGATGACATGCGAGGTAGATTTGTTTTCGAAGTCTCCTTCTCATACCCTTTGCTTAAAGAGACGTGACCTACACGGCAGCAGGTGGTTGGATTTCTCAAGGCTAGTTTTAATTCAGAATTTTCCGTATTTAGACTGGTTACAAATCAAGGTTATAGGACACAGTCTGTTCTACTAATTAACCCTAGCTGGTGGGACCGGGAAGATATGGATTCAGACCTTTCACCAGTAAAGGCAATTAACTCGACTGAAATTCGATCTCGGCTCTCCGATTCCTCAATCCGAGCCGTAATCCATTACCCATCCCGACTTCCTATTGAAGTGAGCCATGAGGATGTAAGCCTGTGTTTTATAGATTACGCAGAAGCATTTGAAAAGTTTACTGACAAGGAACTTAGAAAAACAAGATTCATATTATGGAGGCGAATGGTCCGAAATGGGAGACCTCCACAGCGCCGCGTCTTTTGTTTGGTCGAACCGTTTTACTAACCCGAGGAGCACATTATTTCCTGTCGAGGGTCGAAGTAAGGAAGGACCAATTCCTTTCTTCGTGTCGATATGCGAGCTAGATTTGTTTTTGAAGTTATCTTCTTCTAGTCTTTATCTAAAGTGACAGGACCTACTGGACAGCAGCGATTTGAATTCTTTCTCCTAGATCGGTTGCCACCCAAGGCTATGGGACACAGTCTGCACTGCTATTTTACTCGATAGCCCGGGAGAGAAGGGATGAATTCCAAGGGTATTGGCACGTAACTGAATATAACAAACTGGACTCTCCCGATTCCTCAATCCGAGCCAGTATCCATTATTCATCCCTGCTTCCTATTGGAAAGAGCCATATAAATCCATGAGGATGTAAGCCTGTGTTTTATAGATTACGCAGAAGCATTTGATAAGTTACTGATAAGGATCTTAGAAAAACAAGATCCATTTAATGGAGGCGAATGGTCAGAAATGAGATACCTACACGGCGCCGTGCCGTGTTCCGGTGTCGTGTTTGAACAAACCATTATGCCCAAGGAGTCTATTATTTTCTGGTGAGGCTTGAAGTGGGTGCAGTTTCTGTCTTCGAAACAACATGCGAGATGGATTTGTATCCAGAAATTTCTTCTCCTAGACTGGTTGCCACAGAAGACTATAGGACACAATCTGTCCTGCTACCATAGCTACGAGAAGATTAGATGGATTCATACCTTTCCCAGGGTCATTTCCAAGTAAGTGATTGTAATGTCTCGATGGGAATTCGAAATCTGATCCCCGTTTCCTCAATCCGAGCAGCTAAGCATTAATCCGTAATCTGTCATTAATTATCAAAATTAAAATTAGGTATTATCGTCTATTTGCCGCGTCTCTTCAGAACGAAAGCGATCATGATCTTCCACAACTTCCTATTTTGTGTGGCTCTTAGCAGTTTTGTTGAAGCTCCCGCCCTGTGTGCTGACATCCATTCGCACAAGCTCGTCAGATAAGCAACTTGCTGCTTTCCCCCATCTCCCTGACCTTCATTATGCCCCGTGACAGTTATGTTTTCCAAGCCCTCCGTCCTCGTTACGTGTCCAAGGAATTTCAGCCGTCTTTTCCTGATTCTGATAGAAGAGATCTTTCTTTTACCATTTTCTTTAAGGCTTCCTTGTTGCTTACTCGCTCCGTCCCGTGAGGGTTAAGTTCTCCAAGCCCTCTTTCCTCATTATGTATCCTAGGAATTTCCTTTATCTTTACCTTATTCTGAGTATAAGAGTTCTCTTGCCATTTTCTTCATGGTTTCCTTGTTGCTTACTCGCTCCGTCCCGAAAGTCCGAGTTGTCCAAGTCCTCCTTCCTCGTAATGTGTCCGAGGAATTTCATATATACACACACGGACACACTAACAGACAATCAAACAAAAATCTTCCACTAGAATTCGACATTATACACGAACACATGCATACAAACACATACACGCACTAACGCCAGAACAAAATTTGAACACGTGATATCTCTCCGACCAATGAAAACAAGCAGCGTAGATTTTGAAATACCAAAAATTGTATCATGTGTATCCCTGATTCTTCCAAAATTCTGATGAGGCTACAATGAAGTTAGTGAAGCATGTCAGTTTTATAAACGTTTCCCTTTTTCTTCACTGCTTACTCATGCACACACACACACACACACATATATATATATATATATATATAGATAGATAGATAGATAGATAGATAGATAGAATTTATTTCTTCAAACGTTATTTTTAATGGATACTCATATTTGAGTAGATGTTCCTTCTACGGGCTGAATATTCTGGAAATATTATTAGAAAATATGCCAGGATTAACGCGATGTTTAAAAACCAAACTCATGATTTAGCAAACAACAAACGTCTTTGAAAATGGAGAGTGATGTTACCCGAAAGTACACAAATATGGCAAATTTTTCAATTCCAACAGGAAATCCGAAAAATTATTAAAAGCGTTCTATGGATAAATAAACAAAATAATAATCAAATCGTTAATCTCGCTGGTTTTTAATGAAAATTGCATATGATTATAACGATAACAGTAGTAATTTTATTGATTTAAAATTTTATATATTTATATCAGAATAGAAACGCTGGCTTGAAGTCGAACAGAAATTGGACTGCAACAAATCAGAGATCATATGGGATTTCAACATCTAACAAGATCACATAAAAAATTACTATAGTTGGAAAAAATACAAAGAAATTCCTCTTCGTTGATGTGGATGTCCCTGGTGGATATACTATTAGAGAATTAAAGAAATTGAAGTTGCCAGAACTGGGAACGTCCAGACCACTATTGTCCTAGTTGTTTGTCTATACTACCGAACCCAAAGTCCTACATGAAGGGAATCGGAATACAACCTAATATCCCATAGCTTCAGAAGTCTGCATTGCCTGAATCTACAAATATTCTGCGAAAGGCGTTGTTGATACAGCACACTCATAATGCAGGATCAGCATTTAAAAATGAAAGACCGTGCACAAGAAGATAATAAGAATAAGAAGAATACGATATGCAATAAGCACAAAATCGAAACCACTGAGAAATGGTATGAGTACAAACCAAACACAGTTACCCAAAATAACAATGTAACTATTCACTGGGACGCACCAATTCAAACTGACAAGGAAAAAAAAAAACAAACAGACCTGGTATTATCATAAAAGGTAAGAAATTCAGGAAGTGTATACGTATTGGGAATGTAGACTGATACTGTACCATTAATAATTGGAGCTCTGGGTCTTGTGAGAAAAGGAATAGACAATTTTACTAACAGTGTCCCAGATAACACCAACATAAAAGTTGCCCAGAAGCTATCAATTAAACGGCAATTTTCCTATTGGGCCTACAGACCATAGTTTTGACCCGGCTCTACAGGATACAAAGCAGGAAACATAACATACACAAATAATAATAATAATTATTATTATTATTAAGAAAACTTATACTTAAGATCTGGAAGAGACAGTTGAAATTTCTACAGAAGGATGCTGAGGATACCATGGACCGAATATGTGAGCAACGACAAAGTTTTAGAGAAAATGGAAACAAAAAGGAAACTAATACTTAACATCAGGAAGAGACAGTTGAAATTTCTACAGAAGGATACTGAGGATACCATGGACCGAATATGTGAGCAACGATGAGGTTTTCGAGAAAATGGAAACAAAAAGGAAACTTATACTTAACACCAGGAAGAGACAGTTGAAATTTCTACAGAAGGATGCTGAGGATACCATGGACTGAATATGTGAGCAACGACGAAGTTTTAGAGAAAATGGAAACAAAAAGGAAACTTATACTTAACATCAGGAAGAGACGGTTGAAATTTCTACAGAAGGATGCTGAGGATACCATGGACCGAATATGTGAGCAACGACGAAGTTTTAGAGAAAATGGAAACAAAAAGGAAACTTATACTTAACACCAGGAAGAGACAGTTGAAATTTCTACAGAAGGATGCTGAGGATACCATGGACTGAATATGTGAGCAACGACGAAGTTTTAGAGAAAAGGGAAACAAAAAGGAAACTTATACTTAACATCAGGAAGAGACAGTTGAAATTTCTGCAGAAGGATGATGAGGATACCATGGACCGAATATGTGAGCAATGACGAGGTTTTAGAGAAAATGGGAAAAAAAAATTATACTTAACATCAAGAAGAGACAGTTGAAATTTCTAGGGCACATAATGAGAAAAGAGGGCTTGGAAAATCTTATACTCACGGGTTAGTCTGAAGGCAAGGGTGTCATAGGAAAATAGATGAATTGCCTATTTAGTGAGGTTGAGTAAATGGATGGCGGAACAGGGTTTAGGAGAGATAACAAAAAGACTAAATGTATTGGGAGCTACAAAAGACAAGACGTTGTGGAGAGCCATCATCGCCTTTGCTGTGGGAGAACACGACATAGTTGTCTGTTTGAGCTCCTTGTGACTTGATAACTTAATGTACCCGGGGATATTAAAAAGCATACACTGTATGAGAAATCAAAATAATAATAATAATAATATAGTTATATCTATCTATCTATCTATATCTATATATATATATATATATATATATATATATATATATATATATATATATATATATATATATATATATATTCTTGCTGATATTGACAAAGAGATAAATACACGTGTGTGTGTGTGGGTGGGTGGGAGCGTGGGGAGGATTAGGACTGAGGGTAAGATTAGTGGGAAGGGGGAGTCAACGAGCGAAATCTCAATAAAAACAACAACAAAGAAAATACTGAAGGCCTAATGTAGCAGAAAAGTGAGGCAGGATAAAAAAAAAATGAGAAGCAAACTGGCAATAAAGTAAATAAAATTGAAATCTGGCTAAAAAACAAAAAAACAAAAAAACGCCTCCAATAAGGGGAGAGGCGAATCCCGTCTGACCCCTGTCGAGTGTATGCCTTAGGTACAAACACCTGTGACCACCTTTTTTCTTCTTTTTTTTTTTTAAACCAAACAGTTTATTTTCGAAAATGGGAGGCCGACGACGACGACGACGAGTTTTATACCCCACCTACCCTCGCACACCGTCCTCTACCCAGATCACCCATAGCAACAGTACCTCTCACACGCACCCGTTTCTCGCAGTCCCACCCCGTCATCATCTTTCTTTCGCCTCGTCTTCTTCATATCTCTCTCCCTCCTTTTTATAGATTCCAAAATTTCCCTGAATCTCAATACACAATATATATATATATATATATATATATATATATATATATATATATATATATATATATATATGTACATGTACATATTCTTGGTTTGTTTGGTGGATAGGTTTAAGGTTAAAGCTGAGGTGGAGGGGTGAGGCGGAGGACTGATTGAAGAGGGACAGTAAGAGGCGAAATCTGTCTCGGTTGGGGAGGAGGAAGGGGGCGAGCCGAGTATCTTCCCTATATTACTTCAGCACTTGTCGACACACCTGATGTTAAGATAATACGTCAAGTCGAATTCCTGTCAGAGTAACCCTGAGACGCACACCAGCTCACCCCATGTTTCACACACACACACACATGGACGCATATACAAACTTCAAACCTTAAAATTCCATTTTCTCAGCAATAAAATTTGAGGACATGAACATGATTTGGTAGACCTATTTTGGGACAAATCCTAAGTATAAATAAAAATTAATTCACTGAACTCTATTTAAATGTTCCTATGAAAGAGGGCTTGGCAAATTTGATACTCACAGGTCACATTGAAAGCAAGAGGGAAAGAAGAAAACAACGCATAAACTTATTAACGAGCTTCAGTAAATGAACGACAGAAAGGGCTTTAGGAATGATAACAAAAAAATACAAAAATTTATTAAAAGCTACAAAGGACAGGAATTTGTGGAGAGCTATGATCACAAACGTCTTGAAGGGACACAACACATAGAAGAAGAAGAATAATAAGAAGAAGAGTACCCGTAAAAAATAACCGGATCGTTTACATAGGAATCGGCACTCCTGCATAGGGTCAGCACTAGTATCTGTGCGCGCTGATTAAAATATGGCTTTCTTATTGCACTGAGAGGAAAAATCGGTTTAAAACTTTTAGCACTCTGTAGGTAACTATTTTCGTCAAGCAAAATGTTAGTCTTGGCAATGAAAGTTGAATTTGAATTTTTTGGTTGTGTAGACATATCCTTCTATGGCAACACCTAAAACAATCTAGCCAGGCAACTACAATTTCAAATATATAGAACTAATATATAAAATACTATATTTTGAGGGGATTTCATATACAGCAAAAGGGGAAGTAATATTTATAAATGATGCAGAGTCCTAAATGTTTTAATATCGACGCCATCGAAACTGTAGTCGGTGGCATTGGATAATTTTGTCTTTGGTCCATATTCATGTGTATGGACAGACTACTGCCTTTGTGTGGAGGCTAGGCAAATACTATCGCTTCTCGGCATCCACATGACTGGCAATAAAAATAGTTTTGTGGAACACCAGGCAAAACGTGGTGTTACATCGAGATACGCAATCTTACTATGACCTGATTGCATATTTCAAGCGTCATCTCAGGGTGAAGATAAGATGGGTCTGACCAAGGAGGCTTTCGACGATAGATTGGTGAAAGCGAATAGATTTCTACGAGTGAAATTGCCAATCTAGTGGCTTTTTTAGTATCAGTGTTTCATCGTTTGGAGATACTAGGGCATTCTGTCTATCTCAGGAGTTTGGTAAGAAGAAAGCAATTCGTGCGATCTGTTGCCCCTACGCCAACTCTTAAGACACATGCCATCTCCTTACATGTTAATATTTACAGTATATATAATGCGTTACGAGGCACGGTGGAGTCATGGATAGCGGCTCAGATTGAGAAAACTTAGAGCCGAGTTCGAATTCCAGTCGGATCCATTACATTCACTTAAGTGCTAATAAAATCCTCTTCTTTCCTTCCCAGGTATGGGTAAATAACAGGACAGACCGGGTTCTATAAACTTGGGTAGCAACCGGTCTAGGAGAAGGAAAAACTCTGAATTCAAAATCGGACATGATGCCCCTACAACCCTACGAGTCACGGGATAAAAACTAATACGCGTAAGGACTGTATCGCACACTACGAACAAACGAGACGGAGATAAATAATAGTGTTCTTGTGAATGGGTTATATAGGGAGTAGTTTCATTCTAAAGTTAATAATGGAGCAAGGTTCCTGCTAATTGGAAATTACCTTTACTGCATCGTTAAACGTCTGAGCTTATCAACTTTAACAAAATATTCCGATAAGTATGACTACAGGTCAATATTTAAAGAAGTAAGAGGGTACAAATAAAAAGATTAAAAATTGAGAAGTTTTTCCATTTCAGTGAGACAGACGATGAACGCATTAGAGCGTTATCGTTGGGACACCCCGGCGTAATGTAATGGTTAACAAGCTTGTCTCGCTAGAACAATTACAAGTGACTGAGTAGAGAGATGGATCCTCTGTTGGTGACGCATACTTTCAGCCTTGTGCCACATCCACGCTACTCTTAGGAAATCATTTTGGGCACTACAAGTGGTGTAATGGTTAACAAGCTTGTCTCGCTAGAACAATTACGACTGAGGAGTGAGTTCGTTCCTCACCGGGTGCTCCATACTTTCGTCCTTGTGCCACATCTAAGCTTCGCTTAGAAAAATCATTTCGGCAACCTCGACGTGGTTTAATGCTTAGCAAGCTTGTCTCGCTGGAACAATTGCGACAGAATAGTCAGTTCGATCCTCACTGAGTGCCCCGTAGTTTCGGCTTTGTGCCACATCCAAGCTACGCTTAGAAGATTACCATTGGAGCGTTATCGCTTCTTCTTTTTCAATTTTTCTCACGAAACCAAACAGCGTCATTGTTTACGAGGTATCGGCAAGGCGTAAAGGTCTTGCTAACTAAACAAGGCCAGAACAAATAGATTTATAGAACGATTGCTAGACTTTGCAGAATCAGTTCTCACTCAAGCCGACTTTTTTCAGGACTGGTGACGAATTGCTGTCATTTTTATAGCAGAAATATTAAAATCGGTGTAATAACTTTGCGGTCATTCAAATCAATTACACACACACACATACATATATATATATATATATATATATATATATATATATATATATATATATAATATATATATATAAATAATATAAGCTTTTTAAAGTGTGCTATATTTAAGTGTCAAAGTGCTCAATATCAGGGATAGAGCATATGGCAATATAAAAGTGAACATTGAAGTTAACACCCAGAGCGGACAGTTTATATCATCCTAAAGGCAATCGTCAGGCGTTTAGCGTGAAATACACCGTCGCCTCTGGTGTTGACTTCAATGTTCACTAATATATATATATATATATATATATATATATATATATATATATATATATATATATATATATATATATATAGAATATTTTAATTCAAGCATGTTTGGTTAAATAATTTAGAAATGTTATGTCTCTTTATTTTAGTTTTAAGTCCACGAATTAATTTCCTGCTGCCTGGAGAAAATTGATTAAGGAAAATTCCAAAATATTCTTTCAAATAATTTTTAATTTCAGTCTCATCTGAGACGATCTTCAGGGATTGCATATCTATGTTATGCGTTAAGACCACAAATTCAAAATATGTTTTTACCATAATGTAAGGGAGGTAACTTATGTGATTTTTTAAAAATATCTTTATATTTAAAAAAAAAAAAAGATTTTTTTAAATTGTAGTATTTTAATTTTGTATTTTTTTTTATATAACACTTTTCTGCTACAAACATTTAAGAGCTTTGTTGATATAGTTGACTTTATTTCTTTCTAACGCAATTCCCTTATATAATGTACTTCCAGAATTTTAAATTTTTGCTCATTATTAACTTGATGGAACACTGACTTATTTTCGACGAATATCTGTCTAATGTACGTGGGCATTATTTAACCAAACATGCTTGAATCTCTCTCTCTCTCTCTCTCTCTCTCTCTCTCTCTCTCTCTCTCTCTCTCTCTCTAAATAATAATTTTAAATAATTTAAGTAATTCTATTACATTTACTTGATTTAAAAAGAAATTATAGTCTATTAGTAATTAAGAGTAAAAATATTTTAAAATTGTAGTTAAATATAACGTATTCTAACCCAAACACCTCTTTTAGAAAGAATCTTTAAGTATACAAGAACGAAAAAAATGCCGAAAAACTTTTTGTCATTAATGATAAAAAAAACAGACGACATGTGTTTAAAGGATGTCAGAATTCGTTGAAAAATGAACCCCTACCCTACCTAAACTTAACCTCTTTTTCAGACGTAACTCATAATTGATACAACAATAGTTAATAAAAATGAACACGCTACCGCCCCTGTCTAAATTATTGGATTTCTCTGTATCCTTGGAAACAGGAAATTATGAATTTATATGTGCGTTTAAAACTAGGTAAATTTAAAAATAAGTTATTCCAAAATTCGCTTGAAGATGAAACAGAACTAATGCGTTTAATTTAATTATATAATTAAATTTGAAGTTTTTAGCTTCAGTTTTTGAAACATAGTAATCCCTGTGTAGGGAAGAAAACCATATTTTAATTATTAGTTAGTTTATAATATTTATGCTCTTTAAATTTAGATTGAGCACTGTTTTATAAAAATAAAAAATATCAATAAGAACACCGGATTATATATCTTACTGTTCTTTTATATATATATATATATATATATATATATATATATATATATATATATATATATATATCACATGATAATATATGAAATGATTACTTAACTTTTTGTTATAGGATCTTACTCATAATAATAATGGACTATTTCATACTTAATAAATGCTGCACCTCAGGAGTAGGCAAGGAGTCAGTAGTTCAAGTCGAGTCAAGAGTCGAGTCAGAGGCAGTCCGAAACAGAGTTGCGTTCAGACAATTACTGCAAGACATTGGAATAGTGATACTGGTCGAGACTACATTGTTCTCTCTACTAAAACCTGATTGTTCATACGAACACTTCTACTTCTCTGTATATATTTCTGTTTGTAATTTATCTGTGTTATTCCATATCTGTGTTCGAGTTCTTCTTTATTGGTTCTACCCTGGACTATCACCGTGGTACAAGGAACCGGACCATAACACTTTTAAATATCAATATCAATAAAAGTGCATTGAGAAGGCAAAACATACCTTCCAAAAGTAAAGCAATGTA